GAAGGCAACTTGTTCTAATTGACAATGAAAGTCATGATTAGCATGAATTAGTGAAACTGAGAACTAATATATTGTATGGTTGATCCTAAGAAATGAGGGTTTATGCCAAAATAAGTGCTCTGGCAGCCTATTGGCTAATTCAGAATTTTTTCTGAAGATCGGAAATTTAAAAATGTATATAAAGTTCATATATCAGTTTTATTTTGTGGGATACTTGTTTTTGGAGCCTACTTCCCCTTGTGATTGTTGATTAAAATGCTTGAAAAGGGGTTATCTTTTGTCTTTGGGTGATACAGTTCTCTTTCATCCAGGGACTAAGTCACCCATTCTAGGGCCTATGAAACTGCTAAAGTGTATTGAGATGCCCATGGGGCCTTTTCTTATATTGGTCAAAGTGAGGGAAGGCCCTGGGGCCCTGGCTGCCTTACTTGACTAGAAATAGTTCTCTACCCAGTAACCCAAATATTTCCCTGTCACTGTGTTGGGCCATAGCATCTTTTATCAAAATATTTGTCTTACAAAGGGGGTTTAGATTTCTGAAGACTATGTTTGTGGTAATGAGATTAGTGGTGGGTAAAGGCCTTTTGTAAATTGTTGGTATATAAAATCAGTATCAGTATCTATATTTTTGATATGAGCAAAAACCCAGTGTTGTTACTCCTCTGTAGTCTGAATTTATTTTGATGTTCCATAGGGGCTGGGGTTTTGATTACATTTTCTTGACTAATATGGGAAATCTCCAATGCTGGTTTGAGAGTAGACAAAGGGAGTCTCAGTTGGCTGAGGGGTTGTTCTCATGAGAGAGATGGATAATTATTTTCTATAATCCGAGGTATGAAGCCATTTTCATTTGCGCCTCGTTGACCATAAGTGTCACTTACATCCTGCCTTATGACTGTCATTTGTTCTCAGCCACATCAGTATGGATCTGGTGTAAGCATGTCAATGGACAAGCCAGGGCTGAGCCTCCCAGGCTCTGCCCTGATCACCCCTACCCTCCTTGTCATGGTGTATGTTCACTGCCGACCTGCATGTGTACGGTTGAGGGTTAATATCCACATTTCATATATGAAGCTGGCTCGGCATTAGAATGCCTGTACTGTTTGAGAAGCAGACAGTCCAATGTTTCATTCACATTCTGAGGCAACCAAGGCTCTATTTTTTTTACTAGTAATGGCGGCAAACCATGCATTCTGATTACCTCAGAGAAGGTCCCTGCCTTAACCAAGGAAGCTGCTATTATGATTTTCCTCCCAACTAACTGAAAGTGAACACATATGTGCGGGCAGATACAGAATGATAAATTGCTGTTGAGAATGAAAGCTCTTTTGGTGCTTGACTGTTTAATATGTAATGTGATACCCTGTGTCACAGTGACAGGGTGGCAGACGGCATTGGCTATGTAACACAGAATCACCTTTTGTGCATACTTCCTACAACAAAGCTAAAACATTGGTTCTCCCTAATATGCTAATAAGTTTGGTGTGCTCCAGATGTTTGAGAAACACTGGCATAGCTTCAAAGAAAGCCCTTCTTGTTTTCATTTCTTTTTAACCCTTTTGGTATTGCCTTTGTGGAATAGAGAGAGTTTTTCTTTGGTTTTATATTCTGCCATGCCTTCTTTGTGTCTAAAACATAAAATCATAAGCTATACATCTTTTCAGGTGTTAGAAAAGAATTATATTGAGTTTGTACATTTGTGTTTTGTAACTGAATTATCATTGATTGTTTAAAAGTTTTCTTTCAGTTTGCCTACATATTTTCATGTGAGGGCAACAGGGAGAAGGGATCTCCATGTGCGCAGTATCTCCATCTTCCAACATGAATTCATTTTGCTCCTTTCTGCTGCTGTTCCAGACCCTTGTGTGGTGCTGGAAGGTTTTTTATTTGTTGCTAATTTGGGAGATGAGATAAATAGCTACTGAGCTTGCAGAGTCCCTGGTATTAGCTTGCTGTCGTATTTAATTTCTTGGAGGGGTTATCTAGTTGTGTGGTGGTACACAAGTAATGTCCAGACTCTATCACGAAGCTTCTGTCTGCTGATGGTGTCTAGCTGAGGTGGCAGGCCCAGCCCCCAAGCTTCTTTATGCCAGTGATTTTGAATTTCCAGCTCATATTTATTGCTTTTGTGAAAGACAATAGACTGGTTTAATTTAAGTTCAGCCTACTGAATATTAATGGCAGAGAACAAATGCACAGAGGCTGGATCTTTGGGCCATTCAGTTTTTCTTCTCAATTTAACCTCCTGTCTCCAACATACGTTTGTGTTAGTGGGAAAGCGGTGGGGTGGTGGTGGTGGTGGTGGTGGTGGTGGAAAAATTACAAATGGAGTGTATGTATGGGAGGGGATGCTGTTGCATTATATTTTCTCAACTAAAAATAATAATTATAACATTGACAGGGATGTGTTAAGCACTCAAAAGAAAAGGCATCCCACATTAGCCCCTCTAATGGTGCCATGATAGGTGTTCTGCCCTGTGGCATTGTAGTGTATTTTGTTGATCCAGCTTTCCTAGAATAGGCAGGGTCTATGATTTGGTCTAATGTGATAGTAGGAGATGTGAAAAAGAGAATGGGAATGAATGGCAGGGGTGCAGCACTGCTTTGTTCAAGCATATAGACGAGGAAACTAAAAGTGAGTAATTTTTTGGGTAATTTTTATATACATCAGGAATACTCATTCAAAACTTTGATCATGTAAGAATAACGTCATCTCTGCTCCTTCATAAAGGGTTTGATTCAAACAGTAGCTCTGATACTCTCTCTGGTTCATATGATCCTCATTGTGTGACTTGGAATGGTAAAAGCTTGGAGTGCCTTAATGTGCTAGTTTGAGGCCAGTGGACAGTGGAGCACCCTCATTTCTATTCCCTTTATTGGTTCAGTCTTAGAATCAGAGCAACTTCATTTTCCCTTGCCTCACACCGAGTGCAAAGTATGTACTAAAATTCCAAGGTACATCTCACACAGTTTCCCCATGTAGTTTCCTAGTATGTGTGCTTAATAGTTATTTTTAGGAGGTGTCCTTTTAAGCCTTTTTACTTTCCATGTCATTTTCAGATGTGTGGTTTACACATTTTTCTTACTCTGTATGTGTGTGTGTGTGTGTGTGTGTGTGTGTGTGTGTGTGTGTGTGTGTGTTTATATCTGTCCTTGCACATTATTCTTACACATTTGTAGATAAGTCTCTTGATAGAACTTTGGGAAAAGATGGCTAGGATTTATTTGCTGGGTATGGAGGCCTTTTTGAAATATGCCCATGATGATAGTCAATTGCCTGGGTTGTTATTTGGGTTTAGCCCAGCTTACCAGTGGCGCAGGAACAATAGGACTTGCATGGACTGACATCAGACATGGAGTTCATCGAGTTGTGCATCACCTGGGAACACTAGCTGTGTAGAACAGGGCGCATGTAAATCTATAACAAGTTCAAATTGAAGAGTCTGCTCTTCTTCCCGTGTCTGGCCGGTTCCTGGAAGACAGGAGTAAAGCTGCCAGTCTAATAGCTTAATTTTCTTACATTAATGTGTCATACTCAGCAGTGTCAAACTTCAAAGGGCAGAAGACCATTTCTTACCATCTTCACCTAGCTGCACTTACTTCCCTTAGTTCCTTTCCATTATCTAAATGCATCTTCAAATAGTCTCCTTGTGTGTGTGTGTGGGGGGGGAGAGGAGAGGAGAGACATATTTTTTTATTGTCCTTGTGTCTGGCTGCACTGACTTGCCTTCACTAACTTATCACCTGTTCCTTACTGGATGTGTAAAGTTTCTTCATGGGTAGTGCTAAATATAGAGACGTGTTTTGTGTTTGTTCCCATCCAAATCCTAAAGTACCCTGCCAATTCAGTAGATACTTTGAAAACTTAATCTCCTTCCTTTCACTTTTTCCTGATGAATTTAACCACAACCAAAAAATATACTTGTATGCACTACGTTTTTGATGGGGAGGGTCTCAAGTTTTATTCCTGAGTCCCTCTCTCTTGCTAAGGAATCGAACTAGACTCTGTCTCCAGTCACATTTCTAATGGCTTTTGAAAGTATAGCTTATATAGCTTCAGTGATTGAGAATCTTACCTATTTCTATATTAGTGTGTCAGTGTACACTAATCCAAAGGATATTATTTTGACCATATGCAACTTTTTATTTTTCTATGTTTGCTTTCAAAGACATTGAAACAAATAGGTAAAATTGGGATATGCTCCATGTCACTTAATACATTTTGTTGTTAAACTTAGTGGATACTACTTCTAGCACCCCCGAGAGGGGACCCTTCCTTATTGTGTCTGCAGGAGTACATCCACGGTATTGTGTATCTGAGTACTGTAGATCTGAGGCAAGAATGGCTACAAGCTTAACTATTGGGTCTATTAGGATTTCCAGTTTGCCTCTAAGATATGGTTGTGATGTAATGTACATCTGCATGTAAGTGGTATTGGTTTTAACAGCAGTCCCAAATGTAATTTTATTATATTCAGTAAATATTTATCAGTTACTAGTTATTAAAACACACACACACACACACACACACACACACACACACACACACACACCAGCTAGTTTGATTTCATGATAATTGTCATTTCTTTGAACGTTTCTAGCCTCCAGGCACAGAAGACTAAATGTACTTTAGTCAGGTTTTTTATCCTAGCATTTAACAGACTGAGGTAGGATGATCATGCATTCAGGCCAGAGTAGGCTGCATATTGAGACCTGTCTTCCATACTACAACCATCTCCTGTGTGTCGTGTGTGTCAACACCCCTCCACCCCCTCATGCACAGATATAATTACATCTTGAATTTCCTCTGTTATTTGTTTCCTGTTAGGCCTTAAACTTTCTTATAGAATGAGGCTTAATTTTTCTTTACCCTTTCTAAAGGGTTATATGTACTTATAAGTTTTTGTTGGTCCTTGTTTGCTACTGCACAATATTGACTGTGGAAAAATGCTGCTCCTGATAAAATGTATTTAAGTGTTTGTCCTTTTTCTCACCTGTAGGGCTCCTTGGTAATGACCAGTCTAAGGCCTTAGGACCCGCATCAGAGCAGTCAGAGAATGAGAAGGACGATGCATCCCAAGTGTCCTCTACTAGCAACGATGTTAGTTCTTCAGATTTTGAAGAAGGGCCGTCGAGGAAAAGGTTTGTACCCAAGGATGAAAGTATTTGTGAATTCCTCATGAAAGAGGGGCTGTAAATTTGTTTGCCACATGGGAGCAAGTGTCTATTCACAATCAACTGGTTTTCACAGAGTCAGAACTGAGATTTTCTAAGTGGTAGTAGTAAACAAAGGATGGGTGTTGGCACATGCTTTAATCCTAGCACTTGGGAGGCAGAGGCAGTCAGAGCTCTGTGAGTTTGAGGCCATCCTCGTCTACAGAGCGAGTGCCAGGACAGGATCCAAAGCTATACTGAGAAACCCTGTCTTGAATCCCCAATCCCAAAACAAAACAAAACAAAACAAAAACAAAACAAAACAAACAAAAAAAACACAGACACACACATACCACCACAAAAACAAAGATATTATGGTCTGGATGAATTTGTTCCTGCCATAAGAATTTACCTGAGTGATATTTTCACTTAAATAGTTGTGTTTATTCTTATAGGAGAAGTTCTGAAATAAATGTTGGCTATGTTGTTGCCAATTGTGAAGGAGAGTTTTGTTTCCCCCCAAATATTATAGACTTAGTGTGGTATTATTGAAAGGTATTGTTCATGTCATAAAACTAGAAATTACTGGGTATAATCTTAATATGTGTCTGCTTTTAACCAAACTGTAGAATCATTTCTTCAAACATAACACTTATTTGTAATTGATTTTCCTACATAATTTAAGAGAGTTCAGTAAGGACTATAGCTGTTTCAAGATTAATGGGTCTTGTTGGTATTCACCTTGTTCATTAAATTTTCAGTTTGCATTTGATATCTTTATGACTATAAGATTAAAAGGAAAAAATTCTCTTAGTTTGAGCTTTTTGGTTGATTCATCTTACATTATAATTACCCTTTGGAGTGAATTTAGATGTCTATATGTAAGCAAATACAATGAAAGATGAGGGGAAAGTAAGTTAGCCGTGTGCTTTGTATTATACTTAATAGTTCTTGAGCCCGAAAGTTGAGATGCACAGCTCAAATTCTTAGTTTGCCTTTCTTCTCCCTGGTGTCTAATAGCATGTGTCTGTTGACTTCTGTCCTTGTTTCTCACTTAAGTTGTTATTTGATTTGTTAGTATAGTGAGCATGAACAGAAGAGGAGTCTGTAGGTATGAAGACTCAAGGAGTGTCTCAATGATGAGCCTGTTACTATATTCCGTAAGAGAACCATCCCTAGATTTTTAAGGCTGGGGTCAAACAAAGCAGTCTGTTCAGTAAGTACACTCTAATTTGTGACATTTCCTGTGTCTTCTACCATGGGTGGTGCGCATGTCTTTGGCCTCAGCCTTCAACCTCCATTCTGAGTCCCTGGTTTTCTAAGTCATGGGAACTGCTGTGAGTGTGACTGACCATCTGCACTGCCCAGTGTCAGGAGGTCTCACTCTCTGGATGGCGGTGCTGCCGCAGCCTTCTTTTTTATAACTGAATTTATAGGACAGCAGAAAAAGCAAACAACTGCAAATCATCTTTGCTGTTCTGTCTAATGTCTTTCTTACTGAATTACGAATTGATTGTAGGGTACTACAGAGATGGCTCAGTAGAAAAGAGCACTGTTGCTCTTGCATAGGACCTGTGTTTGATTCCCAGCACTCACATAGTAGCTTACAACAACCTGTAATTACAGTTGTAGGAGATCTGATTTATGCATGTGGAAATTTCATACATTCAGGAGAAATAATTCGTACACGTAAAATCAAGTTGGTTTTTTAAAAATTAAAACAAAAGATGTCAGTGTAGCTGAAGGAAATACAAGGGGAAAAGTAGAATTCATTATGTATCTTTTTGAGCTAAAGTCAAACTACTAGTATAACTTATTAGTTTTACTTGTGTCTTATGGTTGGATAGGTGACACTGAGTTTTCTTCACCATTTTTAAGCAAAGATTTTAAATTTGAAATTAATTTATGTATGTGTATTGCTGTGTGTGTGTACACATGACTGGAGGTGCCTGCAGAAACCAGAGTTGTTGGATCCCTCTGGAGCTGGAGGCCATCTGTTGTTACAAATTTATGTCTCCCTAACTCTTGAGCTATCTATGTAGCCCCAATAATAGAGTTTGATGCTGGTGTGAGATGCCCTTCCTCATTTACTTAGAGCTTCAGGTTTATAGACTCGAATCAGTAGTCTCATTAGGGCAATGCCATGGGATAATTCAGGAGGTTTAACATAAGTAGTATATATATTTTTAATTGTTTTACAATTTGAAGAAATACTTTGCTTTGTCTTGTTCCCTATTTAGTGGGGTGAATTTGAATTTTTCTTTTTTTCTTTTTTTTAAAGCACAACAGATGACCTGAATTGGAATTTCTGTAGATTGCTCAGTGTGGTATTTACTATGGTCCTAAAGATTAACCTTAATGTGCATATATCACCTCATGTGTATTTTACTTTTCCAATAAAAAAATTGGGTGTGTATCTCTGAAGATGAAGCATCAAGCCTAGAGTATATATCTAATTGGTTGGTTCTATGCTACAGATAAATGCATTGGGTGGATTGCAGGGAAGGTTGCTTTTCTCTGCTATTCTTATAGATAGTAGGAAGCATGTGTGAAGATTCCATTTGCATTGTAATTGATATTTAGAACTTGTGGGACAAAAGACTCAATCCTAAAGTCCAAAGCCATGATTTCTATATCTTGGTTAACCCAATTGCTAGCATGATCTGAACTGGCAATTGGTAGCTAGTGTTCTTTTACCATTGAGTTACTCCTGCGAATATGGCGGATTATTTATTCCCCTTTGTCTGTTAGATGGGAGAAGAAAGAAGTAAAAGAACAGTGAGGTTTTGCTGTTAATATCATCATAATAGAATCTATATGCATTGAAGACATCTTTTATTCTGACCTTAACTGGGCTGATTGTTTTCCATCCAAGGAGATCATGTTTTTCGACCTACTTCTTTTTAACAAGCTTTTTTTTTTTTTTTCTTTAAGTTAAAATATGCTTGTGTTCACAAAATGCTCTTCTCTGGACATCATGTTAAGCTGTATTTGCTCAATATACTTGTGCCATGGTTGTTCCCTGACATATTTAGAAGACAGAAAACAGTAGAATTGATAGCTCTTTATGACAGAGCTGACCTGCTGTAGGGATTAGATACTTGCCATACATGAAGCCTGAGGTGTGGAACTTCAATTTGGGTAGAGTCCCCGGTTTATAATGCCCAAATCCCTGACAGGAAGATAGTCTTCCCAAGTAAGTCATGCCTTTTGTGCATGGTAACACGTTGTTTTAGATTATTCAGTTCATTTAAAGATTCCTGGATTTGTGTAAATTCAGGATTGAATCCAGTTTAGCTTTCTGGATATTAATACCTGTGAGCATTCTCCAGTACAGTGCTAAGTTGTATTGCTGTTATAGTTGAGATATAACTTGAAATAGTTACAAAACACTTCCTTATTTCTAGATTTGGAAAGAAGATGGCACCAAGTACATGGGAGTTCTGTTCCACAGCATGCACTAGATTGAGTGTTTTTTGGTTTTTCGAGACAGGGTTTCTCTGTGTAGCTTTTGGAGCCTATCCTGGCCCTCACTTTGGAGACAAGGCTGGCCTCAAACTCACAGAGATCTGCCTGCCTCTGCCTCTTGAGTGCTGGGATTAAAGAACCATAATTGAATTGAATTGAACTTTTCAGCATCTCTTTGCCAAACATGTTGCCAATATTGTTTGTTATTGTTATTAATAGTACTGTTTAAGGCATTAACGGTTACTAGTGCCCTACAACAAATAAACACACCTTTAATCCCAGCACTAGGGAAGCAGAGGCAGGTGGGTGGATCTTTGTGACTTCGAGGCCAGCCTGTTCTACTAAGCTAGTGCCAGGATAGGATCCAGAGAAACCCTGTCTGAAAAACCAAACAACAACAGCAACAACAACAACAACAACAAAAAAAACACATTCCTTTTACTAGTTGAATTAGATTTTTGCTTTAGCTAACCAGGATATTCCAAATTCTGTTACAAATGTAAACAGTACTTTACAAACAAATTCTATACTGGCTTAAAAATAGAAATGTGACATCTTTGGTAAGATCATTGTGGAAGTAAATACTGATGTATTTAGTTCTTTTTTGTTGTGTCGTGTTTCCCTGAGTGCTTGTCCATTTTGTTTTGTTTTTTGAGACAGTGTCTGTGTTATGTGATGCTGGCTGGCCTGCAGCTTACTATTACTATGTAAAGCAGGCTGGTTTAGAACTCACAGAGACGTAACTGCTTCTCTCTCCCCAGTGCTGGGATTAAAGGTGTGTACAACACTGCCCTGTGTAGTTAGCACTTTAAATTTATGTGCCTGGTTGGCATTACTTATGCTTTGATCTCTTGGCTGTAGATCTAAATGCCCTGGTATCATTTCTTTTTACTGGAAAATTCTTTTTAAGATTTCTAATTTGCTGGTGATGGATGACATTTTTAGGCTTTATAAGCATGAACTGTTGTGCATATGTTATAAGTAGCAGCACCTCCTTATCTGAATGTCACTTTTGTTTTCTATAGAATGCCATATTAAAAGTGATTCTGTAGCAGCATACCATTGATGATGTTTCTGTTTCTTAGTTTGCACAGGTCCTGAAAAAGAATCTGCTGTCATTCTCCAGACTAGGAGCTGCTTTTTTTTTTCTTTCTTGTTTCTTTATTTATTTATTAGGTATACAACATTTTGCTTCCATGTATGTCTGCACATCATAAGAGTGCACCAGATCTCATAATGGATGGTTGTGAGCCACCATGTGGTTGCTGGGAATTAAACTCAGGACCTTTGGAAGAGCAGTCAGTGCTCTTAACCTCTGAGTCATCTCTCCAGCCCCAAATGGAACATTTTTTGTTTGTTCGTTTGTTTTTTGGTTTTTCGAGACAGGGTTTCTCTGTGTAGCTTTTGGAGCCTATCCTGGCACTCACTCTGGAGACCAGGCTGGCCTCAAACTCACAGAGATCCGCCTGCCTCTGCCTCCCGAGTGCTGGGATTAAAGGCGTGCGCCACCAATGCCCAGC